TGTTAAGAATTTCACTGTGGAAGTTCCTCCTGGCGACGTTCTCTGTCTATTTAGTGAATGATGCTATGTGCACAAAGAGGTAGAAAATAACGTGAAGGTTTCGGTCCGTTGGATTTTCGATTTACAGAATCCGATCCTGCGGACCGAAACTGTTGCAGACTTTAAGATAAGTGTCCTTGTTTCAGGCTCGCGCGCAACATCGCCTTAAGACTCACGCTAACTTATGAAAAATTCACAACTGTAATACGTCATGTCATAGCGATGCAGGTGGCACGGCGTTGAAACCGTTACCGCCATAATTCGAACTTCTTACTTGCTCCGAATTTTGGTTTTATATTAAAAATGCATAGCAGATAAAAACAAAGCATACTTTGCAGGACTGCATCCGCCCAGGTCAGCGCTATTAGGGCATGGAAGCGCTGCGCGCATTGTGCTGCCGGACGATATGTCGTCAAAGGGGGAGCCAGATTAAAATGTCACCATATGTGTTCATATGGTGACGCAAAAATGCGTCCCATACAGAACAGGTCAAACGTTTCGTGTCACTATTTCACTTTGGCAGACCCTTTCGTTGGTACTGCTGAGTTTTGTCGAGTAACTAGCTAATCGGCGACCTATGCAGGGGAAAAATCTAGAGGAATATTCGAGATGGAACTAAGTATCGTTCACCCCCCAATAAAGCACTATGCGTAGGGGTTACTCGGCACGTTTATCCAACTGAATCCTATAAACGTACTAGAACGTAACCCTTTTTAGTTGTTGCCACTATACGTAAATAATTGTCACGATCAAAACAACTAAGGTGAATGTTTCTTAAAAAATCACCGTGCAAAATCTAATAAGAAGCATATTAATTATATTTAAATCTAAATAAAATAATTATTTTTAGGTATACTAAACATGGCGTATTATGTTTATCACTATTTCAGATTGCTTCATCTCGACAAAAAAAGATATTTTCATTACGTTCCGTTATTCCTAACCGAACCATCATATTCAGGCCAGGAACGGTTTCCATTCTTCTTTCTAGCGAAACCAGACGTCACACGGGCGCGTCAACGTTGCCCTCCCGAGAGGATCAGCTAGTTTTAATGCAAATGCCTATGGTGCGTATTATTTGAAAATTATTACGATGAATACTATTGAATGCCAGCAACAGATTCGTATGCGACAAAGGTTGGTAATGACATCTGCTCTTTCTTTCTTTCCGGCACTCGATTAAAATGTTCTATGGTTTTTTTTTTAAGTATTTGAGATCTGTTTTCCATTTATCAAAGCAAATCAGCTGTCCTTGGAGGAAATATGGGCAAGACGTATGGGTATGCACCACATCTATTACATTGGAGTTTTTCAGTTAGCTGTAATTTTAGGACCAGGCCCTAAATCCTGGCCCTATTCATCGAAATTGATACAGTGAACTTCCGTAAATTAAGCCAGTAAGCTACAGCCATATCCGGCGACGAGTTCATTATATATAACGAGGGTACCAATCGATTGTTGAGTATCGAAACTTCGTTGACTATGCATCTTTTCCGTTGTACTTTTGTTGCCTATTATGGTTTGAATTTTACAGTAATAACAACAATGATCAACAACAACCGTTATTATCGTTGTAAGTTATTATGTCGTACATGTTTCATATCGTGTAACTGGATGAGTTGACAAGGTTGATAGTAGTTATCGATATTTTAAACTTGGATTAACGGCCTGTAAGATTCTAGGGTACAGCATTAGATTCTCTAAAACGATGGACGGAAGGACGGAATGTCTACTGGACATAAAACTCAAAAAACAGGGGTTCTATAACGTATACGTTAGAAGGGTGCTGAGCGTGCTAATCTGAGCGTGTAGTAGCCTATTAAAAATTACCTAATGATTCTGCAGGAAGTTCTTTACTTTTTTAATTTAATGCTATATTAGCTAGACTTGTACCAGGTGTCAGCACCAGCATGCTTGTCAACGAAGCTTCTATAACATTGTGTGTCCTGTATTTGAAAAACAGACGTTGAAGAATTGCTTGGATTGACCACGCAGGCCGCATTGGACAAGGCAAGCAGTCGACGGCCAAGGGCACTGGTAACAATTCAGCACGGTAGTTGGTTCGAACGACAATCCAGGCCATAGGACAGATATCGGTCTAGAAAAGTACGCCCAAGATAGCTATTACCCAAAATGAAAACAAACTAATCTCGTCAGTTATTCTCATAAGCCTAAACCAATCGATATAGGTTATGGACACGGTACAAAGTGACATAGATATTTTATGAAGTATTTTTACTAATTTGCATGATACATTAGATAATAGTTCTTTACTAGGTATGCCCTTCACTACCTATAATAAATAATTAAGGCATCGTTCATGCCGCACTCAATTTTTTTGCAAACAATCAACAAACGTACGCGCGAACCTTAGCGTCTCACAGTTCCGCGCTAATGAAAACAAATGTTGAAATCTAAATCATAGTTATCACTATAAAACGTCATACTCTCTCTATATGTTCAGCAGCCGCTATTCTAGTTATACTGTGTTGGCCGGAACGTACAGGCTCTCGAGCTGTCCAACTTGTGCTAAATGTAGTACCTTCAATAATGTCTCCCACTCTAACAAACCATACTCTCTCAATGGGGTGACTGTCGCCAGTTTTTAGCTGCCCATTACATACAAGGTGCTTCTTCGATACGGCATGAAAACGTGGGTGCAACATGTCCGTGAAGAAGACTCGAAATGCTAACTTCTATTTGAAACTATGTGAAAGTCGTCGCTTAAATAACAAAATGGTAAAATCAATAGCACTTTTCCTCTAAAGCACCCGAAAACCCTACACTATATGATGTATAAGATACAAGAGAGGAAAGAAGCGTGCACAATTCAGTCCAACACCTTTTTATAGCAGCGTGGGGTCGTAGATTTGAATTAAGAAATATTAATTTTAAAAAAAAAACTTCCAGTACAATATAAAGAATGTATCATTGATATCTTTCTTATTTTATCTTATCAACTAAACAACGAGTTTAAAGTGAAAAGTCACCTTATCTTTGCAGCGAGCCGTACACTCTGGATGATTCGAAAACATAAAGCCTTTTAATCTTTTCGGTCTGAGTACGAGTTGTTTATGACGCAAGAAGGTCAGCAGTTGCCGCCTGGTACAATTGTTCTTATTAGAAACAGAAGTTCATTAATGATTCAAGTTGAATTATAGTTTGGCTTGTTCTAAGCTTAGCCATGCACCGGTTAAAATTGGACAACATTTGCATCGAAGGAAGGAGTGCCCAGCAAGCTAGCGAAGCACAAATTTTAATAAGAGTGCTTTTTTATAAAATGTTACGTATGAATAAAAATGTTCTCGGGGAAAGTTGGATTTTCTCTTCACTCATCCTGTGATCAGACCGTTAGAGTAAACAATTCTACACAATTTCCACCGCAGAGTGCAAATGTGTCCAGTTGTCGAAATTTCTGTGAAGGGTAAACGATCAGTATCGATGAGGAACAAGCGAATATGGGTTCGATCCGAACGAACGTCACGTTACGCATCAGTATCAGACGTTCCATTTTGATTTTTAATCAATTTAACTTTCACAAAGCCATAATAAACAAAGTGTTTTTTTTTTCGCCAATGACCATAGCTGGCTGCTCTTGGTATCTGAAATCAAATTAGATTGGTGGCCCGATTATAAATAAAGATCAAGGCACATTTATTTATGGCCGGATCGATAGTTTTCCAATCAAAATCTAAAAACCTTGCCATATCTTACGAACACAGGGTAGTATTAGAACTGGTTAGGGTAGCTCGTTTGTGCGGTTTCGTCAAAAGGAAGTACATCGAGCAGTTTTTTTTTGCGTTCGTATACGTGGAAAAGATAACTCGCACAAGTTGCTTGTGTAGATGAACCCTATCGCGTTAACACTTTTCATTGGGGAACGGGGGAACAACTGCCATATCGTTACTCTTTCACCGTTTTTTGCGTGTCCCGGTCAATAGAACGCATTCTTTAGGAGCGTCCTAAACTATATATGGACGTAAGTAATTTATTGTGTTCTACGAGTTTCTAGATTTTAAACTCGTAAAGTACAGTAACTGATTTAGGTTTTGTTTTCCTTCTAGATTTTAAAGTTAATGCTAAGGCGCACTAGGTAAAGTGAAATTAGTATTTGCCATGCTTGTTCTGACTCATTTAATTAGTTTGGTGCGTACGATTCTCCCTGAAAGGTCCGCTCACGCATACGTCAAGATTAGGGTAGACGTAAAGCATGGTCCGTTGAAGTCATAAACGGTCACGCTACGACTGGGGCATCTTCGAAAGTGTTCATGTTTATCTGTATTGAAAATGCAGATGCAATTAAAACTTAAATGCGATCGTGCTAAATTCGAGAGTAGGCGCTCCTCTACTCTGAGTTATAATGGTCAACAAATAATCACAGGCAACAAGTTCTTCACGGAGGCATTAGCAGAGCGAAGATTCGAATGTACACCGTAGATAGGCAATTGTGGTTCGGATAGAGATGTGCACTCGCTGTAAATTGAAATAGGTCAAGGGTCCAGGCGTCGTGGTACGAGGTGTTTTGAAAAATAATGATATCAACAAGGAACTAACCCGTTGAATATAACGAAAATTAAAAAGAAAATATCCTCGAGTCGCAAACGTAGGCTATAAAATTAGTTTTGTAGAACTTCAATTGAACAACTAGAGCGAGGAAAGAGACACGGTGAAGACATGAAGCGTATTAGATAAAGGCCAAACATTTTTTCGGCCTCAGCTATGGTATGCTTTCGTGCACCTGTGAAGTACATCCCACGTTAATGTTTACTGTTATATATATCTATATGGCAATTGTACTTGTGGATAAGTCCACAGAGCACCCATTTTCACTCCTGAACATCAACAGCCACTGCATTTTAAAAATACGTGCTTCATGTAATAGGTCATGTTTGAGAAGGTACCAAGTAAAGGCTATGATAAAGAGAAATTGTTGAAAATTCTATAGCAGAGTCGAAGCTCACCAGCGATGTGCTGAGTTGTCGATACAGGTCCGTGCATTTTGTATGCCAATCTATCTGCTTTGCTGGAAGAACGGGCAATCAATCCTTTTATTGATACCGGATCGAATGACCTTTTCTGCTATTCCAGTCACCGTTAACACTGTCTTCTATTTTCTTCACAAATCTCTTCTATTATTGTCTATTGTAAGTACTCTTCATTGAGTAGGTTCATATTATTATATGCCAAGTTGATCTACATCATAAAATGGTCCAAACCGTTAGTGCACAGTATCACCTAGACTATTATCTGTATCTAAGTACTTAGCAAGAGAAAGCTTCACTGCACCTATCTCAAGAGAAGATCACTAGCGTTCGTTTGCTTGCCGCTCGATCGTTGAGTCGTTAAGTACAGAAGAAGGTTACTTCTTTTCTACTTATGCGTATAAGCCTCAACACTTCTGCAAGCCTCTCTCATTTCGGCAGCGTTTCCCGGTTACTCTTCCAGCTTCTGCTATTCTATAGGGCTACGCGAATGATCTCGCGCTTCCTTACGGCAACACGATGTCTTTAATTGCGCTGGCGGGTGCGCAATTTTCTAACGAGCATCTGATAGAGAATTGGCGAAGTCGATCGGTCACTCACTGTGCTTTTCAATCAGTCAAGTGTGTCTGCTGATTTGTATTTTTTTGCTGTTTCTGTTTCTGTCTATTTTGTTAGCTCCCACTCAAAAAACAGAACGAATTAAAAATTATAGAAATTGTGTCATTTCCAGCAGTAGCAGCCGGCCGATCTGAGGAAACGACATGTGAAATTCAGATGAATTCCTGGTACATTTGGAAATAGTTGTATCTATCGACGGTAGCAGTAGGAACAGATGCGATTGCGTCGCAACGGTATGGGGCAATCACAGATGACGATCGAACTGGCGCTTCGTGTCATCAGTTCACAGACGCACTTACACATATAGATGCATGCCCGCAGTCGGATATTTCTACACACATGGAAGGAAACAGACGAAAAGATCATGTATGAAAATCGGATCCTTATGTCGAGTGGACTACACTGCTACAAACTGTGGGGCGTCTGATATTAGTGACGAAGAATGACCCCGAACCGCATCTCTGGGTCGAGAGTCTGGGCGAAAATAAACACGATAATTGCACTAGCTAATCAGGCTGCAAGGTCGTGGACTTTGCTGTATCTCCCAGTGTAAGACGAACATTCTTAGTCAACCGAATGGTAATTCGTGGATCCAGTATCAATGCATGTAACAGCAATCTCTTAAATAGACACTTCACGCCCTACGACTATCGTATCGTCCGGAATACTTCAAGAGTTCAATAGCTTTCTCACGAACGTTGGCGATCCATTTAAGCTACTAGCAGGTACCATCTCTTGACGAAGCTTATCTGCCAAACCCGTGTACTTACATAATATACACGATATGTAGACGATCGTCGCACCCGGAAATTCCGAAATGCGAAACTTTCTTGTCCAGTTATATATATATCCACATATATATCCTCATAGGAGAACAGCCTATGGCAGACTACTGCGTGATAGAATCTTTTTACTTCCCTCTCTCGATGCGATTTACAGCCTACGCGGTACTTTAGGAAAATACTAGTGGCAAGTGCAGCCCGTACGAGCTATCACATTGAAGTGGTGTTCCAATACAAGCCACTTAACGACAGTCGCTTAGGCGCACTCGTTCAATTACTCATAAGAATGATTATAAGGAGAGCGTCCAACTGATTCAAATTTGCTCCTCTCGGTCTGAACTTAGGACGGGGCTACAGAGGGCACTATCGCGAGACTTATGTAAGAGATATGATCGAGTCAGGTAGGGGGCAACCTGAACAGTCGAGGCAGCAAAAGCAATAAAAGCACTTGCCCGTACGCAAGCTAATGCAAACATTAGTAGTGGTCAGGAGAGTTGCCACTACACCCCACAAGACAATGTTGCGATATCGGCGACATACCTATTGACGCACTCTCAACGTCAACCTAGGCGAGCAGAAACGGTAAATAGCCCTGGCAGAAAACAATTTGTTTATCCGCCATCTTTAGCGGTATCGTGTGTGCATACGTAGCCAATTTTAATGTTTTCCGTTGACTGATGGCGGAAACACTCGTATTACAATATAAACTGCTATATGATATATTCTTTGTGAATACTGATCAGAAGGGATCGAAGAGAGACAAAATAGAGGGGGCGGCAAGGGGATATTAGAGAGATAGACCTTTCTGTCTTACTCCAGAGGAGGCCGTACTGAACTTATACTGGGCTTCTTCGACAAACCGATGAAGGGCTAAACAGATCATCAACTTCTGTTGATCTTAACCTTTTGACTTTACTTCGTAAAGCGAAAGACCTTCTTATAATCACCTGTCAGAACTACGATTCGAACCTGCCGCGTCCAGCGTTCTTATTTCTCATAGTTCTGGTGGCCCCATAGGCAGAAATACATATTAGCCCATTAGACCACGCTGTCCCTAGTGTCCCTGGAGGTCTTAATCACACGCTTGCTTTCTCCAATTAACTACGTTATGTCAATAGCAGACCAACGATGTCTATGCAGTAATCGCTAGCTATAGACACTGCGTTCAAGTAGTTTCTGCCTAGGGCTTCCATTAATAATGGCAAGCCCTCGACGAAACTTGGACGACCATAGGTAAACAAATGGTTCAGAAGCGTGTCTTCACCTGTGGTAATGTGTGTGGTCGCCAAATAGTGCGACGCTCGTCGTTGTGGACGTTGACGACATATGAACGCAAGGATAATACCAATTACAAGTAAGTATTGCGGTATCTGTTACTGCTTAATCGAAGGGTGGAAAATTGAAAAAGGAAGCTGAATTATTCAGCGTCTGCAACGTCAGAGTCAATGCTAGTAGGCTGTGGAGAAACCGCGACCGCCTGCGGAAAACACCCTGTGGAAGACGACGGGGATCTACGATAGCACCATATTCGTTGATGAGAACTACCATATGAATGGGGCAAGGACAAGTTGGAACGATCCGGAATGACTAAGAACGGACAACTTAGAGATGAGCGTATCGAGTGTTTAAAGAACAAGCTTGGTCGTTCACGGTTTAGAGAGACCAGGTGCACGCATGGCTCAAGCAATCAAGGCTATACTAGCGGCGTTTGAGATTTTTCTATATTTGCATTAAGCTTGAAAGGAAAACCATGGTCGTAGAACATGGGTACAATACACAGTGGTATGCTTAGTCATGCTGCTCTCAAGCAGAAATGATACTTTAGTAAAAAAAGAAGCTGCCGCCACTTTGTTTGTCCATAGCTGTTTCAGTCGACACTCATTGATGTACGTAACGTTTAGTAAAGTGATTTTATGCAGAGTTTAGGACAGAAGCCTGCCGTTCTAACCCACTTAGACAATTCTAGTTGAAAGCATTGTGCGCACTATTCTCCCTCTGTCTCTAGTAACGATTATGTCGTCTATATATATATAAATAATAAATAAAGGGTGAGAGATAATTTTCGTTTGTATTCTCTCACTGATTATCTCTCCCTCATGGTCAGAACAGCAGGACCTGAAACAAATCGGTTTTGCAACCTACAACTCCTTCTATAGTTGACTGTCAGCTATCTCCTCAACAACACGCCTTCGAACCGCTGCTTTAGCTGTGCTGTAAGGATCTGTCAGAGGGCCCCGTAGAAGCAATTCTGAAGGATTGAATAGCGAAAAAAAAAAAAAGAAGTACTACATTCAGAGCATTTGCCATTAATTGGATTTTTTTCACAAGAATAAAAGGTTTCTATCGGTTTCGTCTAGTTGCAGTCAATAACGTTAGCCAGATGAGGTCCGTCCATACTGACTGTTCCTATTTTGGGACTGGGGCACAGCCATATTTGAGGTTTAAGGTCCACTGATGTTTGTTGCGAATTGATAAGTACTTTATAAAATTAACGCATGAGCTAGAGATATTATACAATACTGCAATACTCGAAAATTAGCCAATTAAAATGCCTTTGTAGTCGTTACGTGAGATGGTCTCTTGCTGCCCATAGTCATTGAAGTGAGAGCTGATAATCTGCTCGTACTTTGATAAATACTAACGTTTAGACAAAGTTTTGAAAAATTTAAACGAAAAATTTGTCCCTACTGAAAGATATAACTTGATTGTTGCTTCACGGCCAATGGAACAGAGTGCAATCTTGTAGCAACCGTTGAAATCATTGGTATGCCGTCTATTCCTTCTGGCTAAACCAGGCTATGACGCATCCGCCTCACTCATACGTAGGCAGTCTCAAACGTTCGATTTGTTGAAGCTTGTTTAGGTGCTGAACTCATTCAAATACATTATCAATCTATAGAATCTTCGATTAAGCAGCAGCTACGTGGCTAGATAGTGAGAGGCGTAATTTACGTGTGCGTCCTGAACTTACGTATGTGTGATTTTCAAAACTTTCATGGTCACTCCGCGTAACTCCCATATTGCGATAAGCTTATGGAAACAGTTAGTTACGTTTAAGCGATAACAGAAAGAATTGTGTCTAAACATTATCCAATTCGATATATGTATTATTATATAAACCTTTAAATCGAATGGCAAATTTAGAGAAATAACTCTATTCAAGTTGCAGGTAAGTTTGTTGTTTGATCTTGTCGTTGCTGAAGATCTTCATGGGTTTTTCTATTAGTTCGAGTTCACCTTTTATCTACTTTACCCGATACGATTGCAAGAAATTCTGCCCGTTTCGTATGCTCACGTGCGTCTAATAACCCATTATGTCTGTATAAAATACTACAAAAAAAAGTGTTGAGACATGTATTCCAGAACCGTTGTCGTCGCAAACCGATAGACTGCCGAATTATAACTTTTGCTAGCTTAATAATAGATCAGCTACAACAACTTACTCCACACTGTTATCATTTGAGGATCGTTAAGTAAAAAAGTTATATTTCGTTTCTTAATGAGTGTATCTATCTATCTATCTATCTATCTATCTGTCTACTACAAAATTCCACTTCGCCAGCTGTCAGTCAAAATGGCAATGTTTATTGGTCAGGAAATGGTCAGTCTTATCGGCTGATTTTGACGCTTCGTAACGCCAATGCAGTGATCGGCAAATACATAGACTATGAGCAGACGCACGTAAAGGTAACAAATTGTATTTCAATATACTCTCAAAAATTTGCTAATAACAACTGATGCTCATACCGTGTGACGCAAGGATCAACGTATTTTTCGTCGCAAGACAATATGCCTGCTAGGTGTATAGGGCGACTCGGAAGTCAAGCTATAATTGTCATAAGCGAAATTGATCATAATTTTTACCGGATCTGAATTGGTCAACACATAACGGGAAAATCTTTAGACGTCCTATAATGAATGATAATTATCCATCTCCTCAACAAACCTAAAACCGGCAACCATACTTTAAACAGCAAAACAACCATTTGTAACTAGCAGCCACGCAGTTCCCTTGGGGCACGTCTTGAGTTTTTCTGTTTTTGATTGTCGTTCCAGCTGTTTACTCTATCTGGGTGCTTGTTAAAATAATTCGTAACGCTTACAGGCCCCTTGAAGCCAGCGCAACGACTTCCCAGAATTCCTACGACTATAGATGCCTTGTGGCATACACTTTGCCCTAAACATGCTTTAGATGTGGGCACAATAGTCCATAAAATTAGTATCCAGCGTTTCCTAGACCATCAGACTATAGAACTCTACGAACTTAGCATTCGGTTGCGAGATATTCTCGAACGTACATATTTTTGAGGAAGACATGTTAGATAAGCATTAAATTTTGCCAAAAAAATCATAGAAAATACAGTAGATAAATTTTTGGACATTTCTATTGGACATAAACGCAAAAAAGGGAAAAATGTTGCTGTAATCGGCGTTTGCGTCACGCCCACATCGTCTCGAAGTGAATTTACTTCACCGCGATCGCTCGACGTGATCGATGAAACTAATCGTAGGGATTTCGGCTGATTTTCAATTAACGGTTGAGTGCGCCCTTCGGATTATTATAAGGCTAGCTTGAATGGAATGGGGCTGGTGCCGAAACAATTATAACGCCATAAGAGGCATTGGCTGACGTTTGCACGCGCTAGGCAGCACGATTGTTTATTAAATCCGGGTGTGCACATAGGCATAAGCACACATGCGAGCGTGCGATGTTATCTAACCGGTCGGCGTTGATACGTTATACTCCTGTACTTAGCCGCCATAATGTTCTCCACTGATATTATTTTTTGCTTTTACGAATGAGCTTAAATAGCAGAAAATATAGCGTTTGGTTCTCTCATGCCGTCAAATTTACACATAAAGAAATACCTACTCAGACCAGTCCGTCGAAACTGCTGCCGGTGGTTTATTTCACATTAAATAAAATATTGTTCCCTAAAATTGTTAGTTACCACTTCCCAAATGCCTAATATGTTTTATTGACACTCTCAGGGTCATAAATTAACGTA